AGTGAAGCCATCCAGTCCTGGGCCTTTCTTTGCTGGGAGGGTCTTTATTACTGATTCAATTTCTGTCTTGGTCATTGGTCTGTTTAGGTTTTCTATATCTTCATGGCTCAATTTAGGCAGGTTGTATGTGTCCAGATATCCGTCCATTTCTTTTAGGTCTCCCAGTTTGTTGCCATACAGCTTTTTGTAGCTATTCCTGATGGTTCTTTTTATTTCTGTGGTGTCTGTTGTTACATTTCCTTCTTACCTCTAATTTTATTAATTTGGATCTTCTCCCTCCTTGTTCTGTTTAGTTGGACTAATGGTGTGTCAATTTTGTTTATTTCTTCAAAAATCAGCTTTTCATTTTGCTGATCTTTTGTAATTTTTTAGTTTCAATTTTGTTTATTTCTTCTGTAATTTTAATTATTTATTTTCTCCTACTAGTTTTGGGTTTGGTTGCTATTGTTTTTCTAGGTCCTTGAGATGCACTGATAGCTCATTTTTTGGTGCCTATCCAATTTCTTGATGTAGGCCTAGAGCTGCACATGAATTTGTCTTCCTGAGTAAACATTCAAAGACCCTGTTGCATTCCAGAAACAGCCACTGTAGGTGTAACATCAGCAGACAGTTCCAAAAACTTCAGCCACCTGAAATGCAGGTCACAAAATGATGATGTTCATAATGGTAACATTGATCAATCCGCCTTTGCTTCCACATAAAAAGACAGAAAAGTCAAGATCATGCAACTGAGCATCCTTGATTCCACACTGAAATGATATGACTTCAAATAATCTGATACGTCCTTGACCAACCCCAGCTCTTCCCTATGGGAGACTATTTCACCAAGGTGACAGCAGTCTTCAGGGGCAGCGTTGGACTCAGGAGGGCATTTTCTCTGCTTTTTAGACATATGGACAGCTTCACAAATACACACAGTTGTAAGAGACCTGGAGACAGAGTCTGAAGGTTCAAACCTATACACAAAGGTGACCGAGGTGTATCTCCATCATGAGAACTACACATCCCTTTAAAAAAAAAAAAGATTTATTTTACTTATTTGAAAGACAGAGTTACAGAGAGAGAGGGATAGACAGTGGAGACAGAGAGAGATCTGCCATCTGCTTATTCACTCCCCCAAATTGCCACAATAGCCAGGGTGGAGGCAGGCTTAAGCCAGGAGCTTCATCCAAGTCTCACATTAGGGTACAGGGACCCAAGCACTTGAGCCATCCTCTGCTGCTTTTCCAGCACATGAACAGGGAGTTGGATCGGAGGCAAAGCAGCTGGGACTCTAACTGTTGCCCATATGAGATGCTGGCACATCAGGCAATGGTTTAACCCACTACACCACAATGCTGTCCCCTATACATTGTATTAATAACTCTTTAGTGCCAATATCTAACCTCATATTTGGGAAACCTAGAGCTGGAGTTTCAAATTGGGCAACTTTAGAGCTCATCTTCTCTCAGCTCTGCACAGCCAGAAAACGCCCCTGGATCTATATGAGCCAGTGAGAGCTATTCTGAATCTGCACACAAAGCCAATCTTCCAAAGCTGCATTGAAAAATAAAATTACCTCTCTAGGTCAGCACCTCTTGCAGGTTTCTGAATTGGTTAGCGGAGGCAGGGTTATTTCCCCAGGGACTGCAGGGGGCAGCACTGCAATCATTATTCTGTCTTATGCTGTTAGCATGTGCCCTTACTTACTCTGCCTGCTTCATTTTCACCACATTTCTGCCAACAAATTCATCCCTCAGGCTTTTCCCAGAAGAGTTTCTCCCCAGGGTTGGACTACAAACTATAAAGAAAAGAAACCCAATGAAGATCTGCCGTGGCTCTCTGCTTACATAGGCATTTGCTAGAAATGCACCTGGCATTGGCTTCCTCTGCCAGGTCTGATTCCTGATCCCTTTAGGCTGGGTTTCAGTTTGCTTTGTGCCGCTGTAACAGAATACCTGAGGAGAGGGTACTTAAAAAGATCAGAAACGTGCTGGCTCACAGTTCAGGAGGATGAAAGATCCCAGATGGAGAAGCTGCATCAGAGCATGATGGGAGGCATCTCATGATTCTGCCCCAACCCCTATGATTTGTAGACAGGACCCAGCCCCTCCTCTGTATCCCTTAGCCCCAGGTGTCTTTGTCTGTCCTTTAGGATTAGCCACTTATCAAGAGGAATTCACTCGAGTGAGGGAATGGAACAGCTGGCCCTCCAAGGTTCTAATCACCAACTCCAGAAAGCATTTGCTTCTCCAAAAGATAAATCTTGTTGGCCAGTATTGTCCAGAGGGGGCTATTCAGGGGAATTCTAGGTCCATGAAAGGAAACACTAGGTCTGGGGCAGAAGGTAACTTCCACTCACATGTAACTGAAGCCCACCTGGGCACCAGAAATTCCCTCAAGAGCATGGCATCACTGACCCATCAAAGAAAGGTCATGAGCACCACTGACCAACCAGGAACTTGGATGTGAACTGAATGTGCATCTCTCAGCCCCAATTTTAATATTTAAGAACCATCCCTCCTAACTTGTCAGGGAACCCAGGAACTAGGCAATCACTATCCAGCACCTTGCTCTGTACTTTGCAATAAATACCAACTTTCTTCCACTACCCCAGTGAAGTGACTGGCTTCATGCACATCAGCAAGTGGATCCAGGTTTGAGTGCCCTGTAGCAATGCCTCCAACTAGTATGGGGGTTTGTTCTGTAAATGATGGAAGAGCACACACCTGCACATGCATGAAGACTGAGGGGGAAGGGGCACTGAGCTCATCTTTTATGAGGATGCCATTCCAGAAATAACAAACCCACTGCTGTGATAACAGCAGGAAGGGTTCTGCCCTCATGACCCAATTACCTCTCACAGGTCCTACCTCTCAACCCTGTTGCATAAGAGACTGTTTCCAACACTTGAACTCTGGGAGGCACATCCAACCTCAAGCTATGTGATAGATTTGATGCAGTGTGAATAGGTAGGCAGCTAGCCAAGTCCAAATGAGCTGGAAGCCTTACAGCCCTGCGATATAATGTTCTCTCTTTACCTGACAGTCAAGAATGCCCACCATCTCAGGATGCCCCTGTGTCTCATCCGGAACAAAGAAGGGGAGACGCCAAGATTATATAGATATTAAACTCTACATGGAGGTACCATAAAATTCTCAGACTGCAGCATGCATGCCAAGGTACTCTCCCTACCTCATAAAAGAGGCTGAGAACAGGGGAGAGCCCTTTTTGGTTCCAGAGCATGGTGAGGGTGCTTTTCTGTTTTTTTCCTCTTTGTGTCTGTCTTTGGACAGCACTCTGGCCCACTCCTGAAGGGTATTTCTGCATGTGGGGTGACCCATACTCACACATGAATGTGTGTTTTTTCTTTTACTGCTGAATAAATCATGTTCCCACTCGTGTACAGTGCAATACCTCTGCCTACAATCCTTATTTCTATGTGAGGCAAGAATCTGGGATAAAATCTAAGATGCCCAGGCCCCTGGTCACCCTGAGCTTCTCTTTCTTTCAAAATTTACACTTTTCCTTTTTTCATACTGTTTTAAAGTACTGTAGTTCTTTGGGACTTTTCAAATAGAATGTTCATATTATGTATTTTATGTGCTTTATCTCATTGTAAAATAAGTAAGAAAACCAAGGTTTTGGATTTTAAAAGAAGCATCTCAGCTGGTGCCACGGCTCACTAGGCTAATCCTCCGCCTAGCGGCGCCAGCACACCAAGTTCTAGTCCTGGTCGGGGCACCGGATTCTGTCCCGGTTGCCCCTCTTCCAGGCCAGCTCTCTGCTGTGGCCAGGGAGTGCAGTGGAGGATGGCCCAAGTGCTTGGGCCCTGCACCCCATGGGAGACCAGGATAAGTACCTGGCTCCTGCCATTGGATCAGCGCAGTGCACTGGCCGCGGCGGCCATTGGAGGGTGAACCAACGGCAAAGGAAGACCTTTCTCTCTGTCTCTCTCTCTCACTGTCCACTCTGCCTGTCAAAAAAAAAAAAAAAAAAAAAAGAATCTCTTGTTTCCAGGACTGGCTCTGCCTCTATATGTATAACTCTGGGAAACTCACTGAACTTTTTGGTTCTCTTTTTGTCCACCTTAGAATTGATGTGGGTGAAGGGTATTGATTTTTCACTCTAGGTCCTTGTCATGCACAAAGATGAACATTCTTGGTGCTGACACAAATAAGGGTCATAAAGTGATAAGATTTATTTAAAAGGTGAGAAAGTGAGTGCACACCAACACACACACACATGAGCAAGGGTTGCCCCAAACAGACACCCATCATGAGTGGGCAGTGGCCCAGATGATCTGCCTGATAGGAGTAGGACTGATGAAGGGAAACAAGGAGAGATTACCTGGCAGCCCCTCCAGCTATAGTCAAAGATGGAAGAAAAGGAGAGAGAGAGCTCCTCCCACTGTTAGTCTTTTTTATGAGCTTGGGGGAGGTGCCTCCAGGTGTGAAGCCAACTGGGAATTATATGGCAGTTCCACAAATGCCACATGGAGCTCAATCTCCATATTTTCATGGTATTTCTTTAGGTCTTGGTTGAAGCAGTTGCATCCTGGGAAAGGGGGTATTTTGATTGACAAGCAAGAGGATAGAATTACATGCAGGCTGGTGACTTCCAGCTCAATAGACCTGGCTAGCTGCCTGCCTACCCCATATCAGAATGGGGTGGTGATTTTAACAGGCTTTGGCAGCTGTCAAAGTCCATGAATCCACGTAATACAATGCAAAGCGACCCTATGTAAAAGATTATAATGCTCTTTGAAGGTGTTTCTCTCTTTCATAAAACACCCTGTGGTATACGCAATAAAGGGCAAAGAACCATTACTGCTTTTCTTCATTCTCATAATAAATTCTGAGCTTTTTCCCCCCTGGGGCTCCTTAGAATTCTCGATGCTATGTGTTTCTCCAGAGTTCTTACTGTTTCTCTCTCACAGGTCTGCCGCTCCTCTTGGTCAAGAGCTACACACCTCTCCCCCATTCAAGAGAAAGAACACTCTTGGCTGAACCAGCCCTTACCTGCCTTCAGCTCTGCAGTGGTCGGCATTACAAGCAGCTCCTCAGTTAGCCCTCTGTGATTGAAAACGAGGACAGGCTTACTCCAGCTGATAGTGCACAGAGCTTTGAGAGAGACCAGCTCAGAAAGCAGTCTGACCTCTGCGTATCTCCTTGCTCATATCCTGTCTGGATGGTGGCAGCATTTTCTTACTGAAATGAGTTTCCCCTCTTCCGACTTTTCTGGAAAATAATGAAGTCAAATGTTCTGCAGACAGCGTAGAACAAAAGGGTCAAGCAGAATTCACATGGGAAATCCACCCCTCGGTGTGTTTTTACAGGTTATAGGAACACTTCTTACTCTCTAAAATAGATACAGGTATAGAATCTGTCTATGTAAAGTTGCAGTGATGATTCAAGAAGATGAAAGTCAGACCTTGGTGAATCATAAGCATGGAATAAGCATTATCTCCTGTTAAAAGATCATCTTCAAATATAATGAAAAACTTGTGAAGATAAGACATTGGGCAGTTTCACAATAGCCAAAGAAGTCTTTGTAATTTCATCTCTAAAAATCGCTAGTGTTCTCACCATTGGAAAAATTACATTATTCCCTTGATAATAAATACATCAATCTTCAAATCTACTGACAGCATCATAACACTCGTGAGAATGTGAGGAAGAAGAGACATGATTGAAAAGATTAGGAACTTGAAAAAATTGAGAGGAGAAGATTAAAGAAAAATAACTTTAAAGCTTGCTCAATAATTCAGAATGCGGTGAGTGAAGTATTCAAACAATGGAAAAACTAATATTCGAGTTGGCAGGATCTATGATGATAACAATACTGCAAGAATGAGCGAGGATGAGCTGGAAAGATCAGTGAACTCTCATTCCAGATGCTATTGACACTTCCCAATGCTTGCTTCATGCCAACCACCTAGGTGTCTCTGAATCTATGAGAAGGCTAAGAGCCAATTGTTATTTACTTACCACTGTACTCCCAGCACCCAGCACCCAGCACTCTCATTGTCAGTGCTTCATCGACATGTGTTGGTTTCAAAAAGAAGTATGTGACAGAGGCTGGTAGAAATCACTTCCCCAGTATTACCACCAAGAGAACTTCTAGATATTACTGTTTCAATAATGAACCAAATAGGGGCTCGCAGGGTAGCACAGCAGATTAAGCTGGTATTTCATATCAGAGCAACTGTTTGAGTTCCTACTGCTCGGCTTCTGATCTACCTCCCTGAAAATGGACAAGGGAAGGCAGCAGAAGATAGCCCAAGTACCTGCGGCCCTGTCATGCATGTGGGAGACCAGGATGGAGTTCCAGGCTCCTCGCTTCAGCCTGACCCAGCCCCATTGCTTTTGTGGCCATTTGGGGAGTGAACCTGTGGCCAGGAGATCTCTTTGTTTCTCTGTCTCTCCCTTTCTCTGTCACTCTGCCTTTCAACTTAGTTTTTTAAATAGATAAATAAAAAATTGTGAACAAAATTTAGACATTATACTGGGGTTGCATTTTAGAAAGGAATAAAAAGAATGCCAATAGATTGTTACTGATATAATCAATTTAAAAATATTTATGCATTATGTAGTACCAGTGAAAGACACATGCATGAAAACATACATCTCACCCACGTTCTCATAGATCTTGAAATCTAGTGGAAGAGACAGCACCTAAAAATGTACGTAGGCAAATAAAAATGTAATCCTTCAGGCAAGTGCCCTGAATAGACGTGCATCATCCCTTGGAATGTTAACTGCATCAGGGAGGTGGGTGGGGAGAATTGGTGATATCGAAATTGAAGGATGAGGCAGGCATTAGTCAGGCAAAACTCGTGGGCGGGGGGATAATTTTAGGCAGAAATAATCGCAAATGCAAAAGTTTCAAAGAAAGAAAAAGCTTAGCCTAGTCCCAGATCTGAAAGAGCCCAGCACAGCTAAAATACATATTGTGCACAAAAGGAAAAGACACCTTGGAGGAGTTGATCAGTCAGGGGCAGTTCTTAAAGGTATTGATCACCATATAGGTATTGGTCAGCAAGTCCTTCCTGCTGGAAGATGTTAAAGAAATGCCATTTTAGAAAATCTACCCTGGAAATTGGACAGAAGGTGGAATGTATGTGGAGAAGCGTGTCTTCAGATTGTGGTAGTAGTGAAGGCAGAGGCAAACTGTGGAACTGGGGTGTGGGCAAGTGGAGGCCTGGAGGTGGCCACACGTAGGTGATCCCAGCTGTATTCAGGAAGCAAAATTGATGTCTGCGTCACTTCCAGGATGTCAAAAGGGCCACAAAAGCAGGGAGAAAATGACCTAACAATTCTGGCTTGAGCAAGCCAGTGAGATTCCTTTTGTTGAGATTATGGAAGAGAAAGGAAAGATTGGGGTTCAGTTTGGGAGGCTTCCAGTTTTGAGACTGGGAGCAGACCCAAGCAGTGAGGTCAAGTCCTCTGGACAGCTGACCATTTGCCTCTGTCTCCACCAAGTGCCTCTGTTCTCTTCCACGAGCTGTCTTGCTGAAGCTCACACCTGTAAGTCACTGCAATGGAAAGACACCAAATCTTTTGGAGGCGAGAAAGGAGGTGGAATATTTCAGGAAGCAACTTTGTGTTTCACTTGCTGGTCAAAGAGTACAAGCCTTCGGTTATAAGACAAAGAAGATCTAAATATCTAATGTACAGCATGATGAGTATAGTTAGTAATAATATATCATATGTTTGAAATTTGTTGAGAGTAAAAATCAAGTGTTTTCATCACACACATACTCCCCAAATGCTAGCTACGTGAGGTGATGATATATTAGTCTGAGTGTGGTAATCATTTCATAATGTATACATATATCAAACACCATTTTTACTGCCAAGTATACACATATTTTTAAATAAATCTTTATTTATTTTTTGAGAGACAGAGAGATTTCTCATTTGCTGGCTTACTCCCCGAATGTCCAAAATGCCTAGGGCTGGGCTGAGCTCTGCTGAGAGTCAGACAATCAGCCCAGATCTCCCACGTGGGTGACAGGAACCCCACCACATGAGCCATCACCTGCTTCCTTTTAAGGAGCAAGAAGTGGGAACTGGAAGCAGAATTAGGTCTCAAACCCAGATAGTCTGATGTTACATGCAAACAGTTCAACCAGAGTCTTAACCAACAGGGCAACTGCTTGCCCCTAAATAATATTTTTTGAAGATTTGTTTACTTACTTATAAAGTTTATTTGTCAAGCATACTTCAATGAAGCTGGGAGAAAAAAACTCTCACTGAGGAAATAAACAGGTAACAAAGTAGCAGAGAAGATGAAAGACTAGGAACATCACATTGTGCATGTGCAGAACTGCGTCTGTATTCTAGGCTTAGTGACCAGAGGATGACTCATGATCAGTTTACAAGTGGATTCGGGAAATACAAGTGATGGTGATTAAGGGAGAAGGAGTCTAATAAAAAAGAACCATGCCTTAGATCTTTTTGTTGCTCTTACTTCTGGGGTCAGGAAACGCCTCCAGAAAGCTCCTCCAAGACCTTTCCTAATTAATTTTTTAAGCATGTCTCCATTTACTTTTTTTATTTTTCTTTGCTCTCATCATCCTTACTTGTCTTTCTTTTCCTTCTTCCAAAAGCAGAGATTTTCAGCAGCAGGAGGGAACACTGTGAGGGCAAGTAAACACAGAAAGGTTTCGATGTTGAACACCTTCATATTTAGAGACAATCGATTTTGATTTTATGCTGATGGTTGGAGAGATCCAGTAGATGGTACACATATGTCAAGAAAGACATTCCTCAAACCTGCCAACATAAGTGAATTTCACTCTAATTGAGCAGAAAAGGGTGAATCATGTAAAGAGAAGATTATTTTTGGAAGCTTTGCAAGTGAAGAGATGTGCTTTGGAGACAATGAAGTATGATACATGATGAAGACTGTAGGAGTCTCAGACCACGTACTTACCACCACTTCTTGCTCAGAAGGCCAACGTGCAAGGCCAGGTTTTCTGTACTGCCTTTAGCACAACTCCAGTACCTGAAGGTGGCTGTGAAATAGTGTCCCTGTGATAGTCAGGGAGCTCTGTCCTACTGTGGTTTGAAGACTACACCATTCAGGTTTCCTCGTGGAGATTCAGAGCACCCGTGGCCATCCAAAGGTTTTTACTCTTCTGCTGCAGAGTAACCTATCTTCTTCTTTTAAAAAAAAGATATTTATTTATCTGAATGCCAGAGTTACTGAGAGAGAGGGAGAGGCAGAGAAAGAGAAATCTTCCTTCCTGTTTCACTCCCCTTATGGCCACAATGGCCAGGGTTGGACCAGGCTGAAGCCAGGAGCCAGGAGCTTCATCCAGGTCTCCCATGTGGATGACAGGGACCCAAACACTTGGGCCATATTCCTCTGCTTTTCCCAGGCCAATAGCAGGGAGCTGGATTAAAAGTGGAGCAGCCAGGACACAAATCAGAGCTCATATGGGATGCCAGCATTGCTGATTAGCTGTAGCCGCTATACCACAATGTCAGCCCCAGAGGGATCTTTCTAAAGTACCCCAGCTTACACAAGGCCCCAGAGGGTATGGGTCTTCTCAGAACAGCTTTAGGTTTCTACACAGTGATGTCCCACAGAGACCAGGTTGGGTAGAGCCTACCTAAGTCACTCAGGATTTCCTGTTTCAGAAATGGCCCTGCCAGGTACGGTCTGTGAATTTCCCTCTTCATTTTTGTATCCTGCAGGCTTCACAGCTGAGTCATTCTGCCCTGTTCCTAAAATGTCTGGCTGGAGTACTAACCTTATTTTCCTGATTCTTTCTTCCAAACCAAAAGAATCTGAGCATTTCCTCTCAGGGTAGTTCTTTATTTTTGTTAACAATTGAAGAAAGACCTAGGAATCATTCTTGAACCGTCTCTGCTTCATCCTAAAGGTCTTTAGTGGCTTTTTATCACGTTAAAAAGCCAAGTTTCTGTGTAATTTCACTATTTTTCTTTTCTACTGCGTAAATTCTGTTTTAGAACACAGTGATAAACTATGACTGCATATAGATGTGAAACTGTCTAAAAGTCAGAGCTAGGGAAACTAAGCAATATATTTGTAAAGATTTTTAAATACTTGGAAAAATTAATACAAAAATGCCGCTTTTTCTGCACTTCATTTCATTGTAACATGGTAACCTGCTGACTTCGCTCAGTTATGAAAGCTCATCAGATGAAAACCTCTTGCTAAGTAATAATCTTGTGAAATTTTTCAGTACCCAGCAGGTGACCCATCTGCACATAAACAGTGAGTGGACTGTCGTTGACTCAAGATATTTTTGCAATAATTGATGTGATCCTTTTTCCCCTCAATGTGATGACATCAACCCTTCAAGGAAGAAAACCAGATGGGAAAATGTCCACCAGCTTAATCTAAGCCATACTAGTTTGGTAAAATAAATGTCTTTATCTATTAGCAAATGGAAAATCTAAGAATTTTTTTAAAAATTTTTAAGAACCACATTTACAAATAAAAATCTGAAAACCCTTTAAAACTGGTAATTCTTCTCTTTTCCAAGTATATGGTCTAGTGTATGTAATATAATAAACCATAATATTTATTTTTAAATTTTATTTATTTATTTCTATTGAATTATATTCAGTAAAAATGAGTTTCTTTCCTTTGCTGAATGCTTTCTGTTTTGCTTAGATGTGCTTTAAGGAATAGCATATTGTTCATAATATTTTAAACTGCCCCAATCACTACAAATATTCCTTTTATCTTGAAGTAACATTTCTGCCTTCATGAATAACATATGCAGTTGAAATATTTGTAAATATATGGGACAAAAAAAGTACAAGCTGTGCATAATAAAACCCTTTTTGAAAAGATATCTTTTTTATGTATTTGAAAGCCAGAGTGAGAGAGAGGAGGAGGAGGAGGAGAGAAGCAGGAGGAGGAGAAGGAGAAGGGGAAAGGGAAGGAGACAGAAACTTGCATCCACTGGCTTCAAACCTAACAACAGCCAGGACCAGGCCAGAACAAATCCAGGAGCCAGGAACTCCATCCAATGGCAGACTCCCAAGTACGTGGGTTATCCTCTGCTGCATTTCCAGGCACATTAGCAGGAAGCTGGATCAGAAGCAGAGAAGCCAGACTCCAACCAGCATTCTGACATGGGATGCCAGTGTCCCCAGCTAGCAGCTTAATCCACTGCACCAAAACACCCACTCCTAGAATAAAGCATTTCATGTAAATTTTACCCAAGAGCCTTATAATTTGGAGCTAAGGTTGCTGATTGCTGTTTTAGGATGCTCTAGGTTGAGAACAGTGCATGCATAGGAGAATAATAAAATACAATTGTAATGGAACTCCCAGACTAGTAGGTAGAGGAAATGCAGACCAAGGTGATCTTGTTCAGGACATTGATAAATGGTAGCTAATTAGAGCATCATAATTTAAAAGAGGAAATAGATAAACTATATCAAGAAACCAATAAAATCATTTTCCAAGTGTTATTTGGCAAACCCCAAATCATTATATAGTTTGCTTCCTCAAGTCATGGAGAAGCCTGTTCAGATTCCATCTCCTATAGGAGTTGTTCAGGATGATTCTACTCAAAAGAGCAGAATATAAATGGAGTTCTATTAGAATTAAATTAAATGAATTAATCAAATTAAATGAATTCATACATAAATTAAATGAATTAATTAAATTTAGAATGCCATGGAGTTCTAGAAAATAGAGGGAAAAATAAAAAATTTTAAAGAATCAACACTATAATATTTAATATATTCTAACTGGCATCATGAATGAAGAAGTGCATATATTCTACTTTAATCAGAATCAATAGAAAGACTAGGGCAGGTGTTTGGTGCAGGATTTAACATACTGCTTGGGATTCTCTCATCTCGTATTGAAGTGCCTGAGTTCTGTTCCACTTTCAATTCCAGCTTCCTGCTAATAT